CAAAGGAGGGAGGGGGCTCGTCTGGGGGGGGGTTCCCTGCAGATTTCAGGGCTGGGATGGAGGTTGCACATTCCAGCCCCTCCCTTCCCCAATCTCTCCCTCTCTCTCTTTTTTTTTTTTAACCCTGCCTGGCTGAGGAATGTAGCAGCGAAGGGGGGGAAGCAGTGGAGGAAAGAAAAAGGGGGGGATTCGGAAGCAAAGGCCTCTTCAGGAGGCTGCATTTGTGCAAGGGAAACCATTTGCATGTGTGTGCGGAGATTCCAGCGTTTGTCTCCAGTTGGGAGCGAGGGGGAGGGGAGGGGGCGCGGGAGGAATGCAGGGAATCAGGTCGGGGCGAGGGGGAAGGGCTCCGGGAGAGCTTCCATCCTGTTGTTGCATAAACTTGTTAAAAGAGCCCTCCTCTGCGAGGGCAGCGCACACAGGGCAGCAGTGTGCGGGAGGAGGCCAGACCTGCGCCCTGGCTGCACAACCAATTGGAGCGGAAAGTGAAATCAGATGGTTTTAAGTTTTCAGAGGGATTTTTTTTTTCAGGGGGACTTTTTGAGTCATTGCATTTAGTGCTGGATTCATATGAAGGTCGCTCATGCTTTGCTTTGACTTGGGTGGTTTGGGGGAGGGCCTCGCTCAGCAGGGCCAGGAGGCGCAGTTTTGGGATGGGGTTTTTCCACCCCCCCTGCAAAACCTGGTGGTGCTGAGCTGGAGGGGGGGATGCAATAAACCCACCCAGTGCAAATACATTTTGCTCTTTGCTCGCGGGTCTGCAGGGTGCTGGATCTGCGCCGGGGAGGGTGCCTCCCTCTTTGTGACCAGGGGAGGGACATTTTGGAGTGCCCCAAGGCCAGCCCCACGTGCTCAGCATCAGGGCTAGGGCACTTTACGGCATTTTGTTTGCTTTACTATATTTACTGCAAGGCGGGAGCTCAGCATTTCCAAGGTGATAGGCTTCAGCCCTATTTTGCTCCTACAGTCAGTACCACAGTGCCTTTTTTTTTTCCATCAGACAGCAGAGTGCTGGTAAACACCATGCAGAAAAAGCCATATTGTGGGGTTACAAAGTCTAGGCTGTTTAAGGAGCTCTGTCATTCCTTTTAATGGAGCTCACTGACGCAGATCTGGCTTCTGCCAGCCGAGGAAATGTTGCTGCTGAGAAAAGGGTTATTGAAACCCACAAACTAAATATTTTAAGCGAGAATCAAATGGCAGGACATTCTGGAGTGTAATCCCCTCTGATTTCAGGAGAAGGGGAATGTATTGATAAATGACTGTGGGTGACAGCGAATCCCCCCAGCTCAGTGGGTGAAAGCTGCTTGGGAAGCTAATGTTTTCAGAGAGGATTACAAACCCTTACGCTCTGGAGCCTCTTGCACACCTGGACAGGTTGACTCTTGCATGGAAGCAAGAATCCCCTTTTTTCTGGGAGGATTTGTACAGACTTGCTAGATAGGCTTACGGAGTGGGGCTGGAATGCCAAGAATTTTTTTCTTTTAAAGAAAAAGAGAGAATTAAGAAGACAACCCTCCCCAGTTTTAAAACAATGATCTTTAAAAAATCAAATAGGATGTAAAACTCTAAATCAAATCTCAACATACAGCTGTTTCCACAGCGTTTGGTCTGACCTTTGGTAACAGTGTCAATTCCTTTGCAGAAAACAGATTGTAGGCTACACATATATACATGGTAGAGCAAGATGGCTTTTTAAAACTGCCTAGCTCCTTTAGCTATTGAAGTGCATACATATGGACAGAGAAATAGGATTGGGCTGGTGGTTGGGTACCCAGCTATAGCTTGTAAGGTTGCAGCTGATTCAATAATAAAAATCTGCTTCCTAGACTGGCACCTTAACCAGGAAAAATGAAATAAAAAAGTAATGGATCTAAGTAAGGAACTGGATCCCTAAACTAAATCAGGGTATCCAGGGTCTGGTCTGGTACTTAAGCAGGAGACCTCTGAGCTCTGGAAGCCAGTGCACTACTTTATTTAGCCCAGAGCTGCATAATAGGGTCAGTTTAGTCTACTGTGTCTATTAACATCAAGAATGGGTGGCTTAAAAATACTGCAGTGACTCCAGCACAGTCATGCAAGTCAAAACTCCAAAATGTTGCCTTTATTGAGCAGCATTTAAAGCGTCATTTCCATACTAGTCCTGGTGACATTTCCATTTAGTTTCTATAAATGTGATTAAAGGCGAGAGAGGTTTCTAAACATATCTAGAGACGCTCAGCCTCTTAGAGTATAAATAGAATGCATTTCATAATCTTGTGTTTAAATGTTTATTTTAAAATAACCCCCATATACATTCCAGGGAAGCATTCCTCCAATGGGGAAGGGATCAACACAGGCTTTGCATATTGTTTGCAAATGGTGTGAATATTATTGGGTATTGATTCAGTCTTTTATTTTTCTGTCTTGCAAGAGGGGGGAGAGGAGGGTGTAGGAGACCAGTACAAATACACCATCACAGAGACCCTGGAGTGTACTTGGACAGTTGAAGATAAGGAAATTCTTGAGATGCATCTAGGCATTGAGGGCAGACCCAGCAGTGTAAAAACAGAGTAACAGAATGGTGCATTTTTCTCAGACCTTAAAGTCATAGTTGAAATTCATAACTGTGTCCCTTACTCTTTCATGTCAGTTGTAGATTTTATAATAATATCACAGGTCAAAATTGTGTAGAGACTGTTGAATTCTGATTTTTTTTTTTTTTTTGGTTTGCCGTTTCAAAGAGTAACACCACCTGAAGTTGTGAATTGTGACTTTACAGTTTAAAGTCACCAGTGGGAACAGTGTTTGAGCCACTGGAGAGGTTGAAAGGGTGAATGGGGGGCTTTTAAGTCTCATTTGAAATAACATACAGGCTGAAGAGAGGAAAAAGACTTGATAAATATAAACAAAATAGAAACTGGAGTTATTGGACTGCAGTAGATGGAAAGGTAAGGCCAAAACTAGCTCTTGTCTTTTAAAAAAATGCTTTAACCCTAACTAAAGATCTAGCTGCCAGAGACTGTTGAAAAGCAGAATGGCAGAATTAAAACAGAACTTGCCAAGGTAACGAAAATACCAAAGTTTGGTAAAACCATTCTGATCTGCTTAGAACACCCTTCTGTGAACATGGCCTTTTAATTACTGTGAGCAAAGGTTACTACAAATAAATAATACATAAAAAAGGATTCCTATCTGCTTTCAATAAACAGGACAAACTGAACTACATGTTGTTTTTGTTTATCAGTCCATTAAAAAAACTAAACAATTAATGCAGCCTCTGCCCTATTCCCACTTCTGTGCAAGTGTCTTTGGTTTTTAGTTTCTGTTGGCAAGTGAGCCAACATCAAAGGGGATAGAGGGCTGTCTCGCACCAGCATGCCAAACGCCAGGGATCTCTAATGGCAAAGACCAGATCAATGTGGAATGCATAAATTAGCCAGGATTCCATGAATTAGGGGATTGTCTCTCCATTGCACTTTTATTTAATCCGCTGGAAAGCAGGCTGAGGAAAGAGAAGCTTAAAGTGTCAAAATCGTGAATTGGTTTGGGATGGCCTGGGAATAAAGTTTCCTTCCTCCTCGCTCTAGTTTTTCAAGTGTTACTAGATGATAAATACAGTGGGGCAGGTTTACTTAATAGTCCAGTTCCAGTAGAGCAGGTTTACTTAGGTAGAGGAGCTCCGACTCCCAGAGAAGACGGGCAAGTTCTGGCTCTTCTCTTCGATTTTTGTCTTTCTGGTCGCCTAAGTATTAAGAACTAATACAGTCATAACATTGATGAGAGAAGGTTGGTGTCTTCCCGTCATGCATAGAAAGAGGCTGAAAAATTATGGATCCTAGGCAAAGACACGCACGTTTTTAAAGCAGGTTGAATGTAACTAGGTAATCTGTGCACGTTAATCTGAGCTGTGGAGCCAGCTCTGGAGATCTTGTTTCACTTTCTAATTTTTGTTGTGTATTGAATGCCCTTATTTCCAATGAAGGAGAGGTGTTTAAAATCCCTGTGCCCTATCAGCAGAACAGCCCTAGAAAGGAAGTTCTACAGGGGCCTGCAATCCTTTTACTAATGAGTTCAAAATATAATTAGTAATAAAATAAGTAGGAGAAGGTCCCAGCCTCTCCAAGTTAGACAGTGGATCCAGCCTGCGCTTTAAAGAAAGGAGAGAAAATCCAGATTGAAGGAAGGAATACAGGGCTGGGGGAGAGATACCCAAACCTGGATAAAATCCACATTGTAATGAAATGTTTGTCACTGGAAAAAATGAGAACCTATGCCTAGATTCCATTTTCTATAGCAGACATAACCTCAAGAGATGCATCTCATGGTTTTGCCTTTCTTCCTCCCCAGTGATAAGTAATTGTACTTTTGATAGGGGGGTGCATTATTTTCTAACTTTTTACCCCTTACACATTTGCAGACTAATGGACGTCCAGTCACCTGCTGCAGGAAGCATAATCCAGCTTCATAACCTTAAGGATAAGACCCTATCAATATTGCCTCTGCTTTTGTCATCAGGGTAGTAGTGCAATATTGCTTATAGGGTCTTTTCTTTGGAGGGTATTCTTCATGGAGAGAAGAAAAGCAGCAGCAGAACAGCCATGCTGGTCACCTTAAGACAAAAGTTGTGCAATTACAAACATTGCTAGATAGGCAAATCAATTTGTGCAAATGTGTTATTGTGAACATTCGTGTTCATGTGACAAAGAACTGTGCGCTGATGCTCTTCTGAATATAAATGCTCCCCTGACAAGTAACTGCATAGATGCTCTTGTGATGACTCAAGTTGTAAAGGGGTGTATTTTTGATGTTATGACGCAGGATGCATAACAGCCTTGTATTAAAAAAGCACAAACAGTTGTACTTGCTTGAAACTGGAGTAACCCCTCATGTCTGTATTTTTAAACAGTGTCAGGCACTGGATGTTTGAAGGGAGCCTATTTTATGTAAGGATGTAAACACCCAGCCAGGGATGGTTGGATGTATCTGGTCACTTTTGCTGTTTGTGTCCCCGACTGTAGCCCGGAAGCCACCATGTTCTGTGAACCAGGGTGTGGGGTAAAGCTTCTGCCCCGCCAGTCTCAAGAAGCTGATACAAACAAAGCGACTGTGTCTGATTAGCAAACGAAGATCGATGCGCTAGGGCCTGGTCGCACAGGCAGCATGGCCTATATGGAGGCTGCTGCGCTCCGGGCGGAGAAAGCAGCGCGGGGTGCGCGGGCTGGGCCCCCGCCCCAGGTGCCGGGCCCTGGCTCCGGGCCGGGGCTGATCGCGCGCGGGATGCCAAGGTATGTGGGGAAGCCGTGGGAGCGAGGGGGCCTGGGGCTCGGATTCCTCTTTGTAAGTGATCGGCGGCAGGAGGAGGGGTTGACAGAAGCCTGAAATGGCGGAGTGGGTGGCCCGCGCTGCTATGTTCAGGTGGTCCCTGGCTCTCTGCTGGGACCCCAGAGGCCCAGGAAAAGGGCCCGGTGGGAGGGGACGCGCGCGGATTAGAGAGCGGCGAGGCGGCCCGTGGCCCGGGGGCTTTC